TTTGTCAAATTAAAACTATTTCTCAAAACATGAACATTTTGTATATACAGATGTTTATATTATAATACATACTTAATACAATTGTGTATGTTTTTATTGAATTCTGAAATGCAATTTACGCTTATAGAAATAGTAAATATGTAGGTATTAATAAAAAAAATGCAAAAGTGAATATTAAAAATTGCAGTCATCATAAAAAGTTGTGAAACAAAGAACCGAGAGTTGATGCTCACGAAGCATCCTTCGATTTTGTGTCAAGGCGGGATTGATTCGCGTAATTATTTAAGCTGATCTTCCGGGGTCATGCCTTCGAGAACGCTCGAAGCACGAAAATCGGATTCTTCGGACAGTTTTTCGCTGGTCAAATGGAGACTTTTAAGCTCGGCTTTGCTGCTGCCGTAAATAATGATCCGTCATCGTTCACCATTGTGCTGGGCAACGGATGACCGTGTGTCTTATTCCTGTCTGAGCTAGACAATGGGCGAGTTCAAGTCGGTAAAGCGGCTAGGTCTGCTCGCCGAGCGAATGTATGATTGGTTTTTACCTATGAATTCAACCAATCATGTTTAATTATTCGGCGAGCAGATCTAGCCGCTTTGCTGACTTGAATTCACCCAATGTAACTTTTTTTTTGCTGCTTTTCGTATCGATATACATATACACTAATATTGTGTGAACAATATTCATCTGCGTGATAATAATTTAGATATTGGATAGAGATATGTTTCAATCGAGGAGAGAAATAGAGAATTACATATGAATTGCATATGTATATATATACATATACATGTGTGGATGCTGTGTCTCGATAAATACAATTTATTTTTTAAATTATTTTGCTGTGAATTAAACTTTGCTTTAAATTAAACTCAAGATCCAACTGTTACTTTTATTGTACATTATAAATAATGTAAAAGGAAATATTTTATTTTATTGCACAGATTGTTTGAGCTTAAAATAATCAATTTTTTTCAAATAAATTATTTATCAAAGTCAGTAATCAATAAAAGCTTCATAAATAGAATTAACAATTTAATTAATTATGTACTGGCAACATTATTTGATTTTTAAATATCATAATGTAATAATTTTTATATTTAAATTGATATTTAAAATTAATTATTAAGTCTATAAATATTAAATCTCTTTATTAACATCTTTATTTTTTCTACCATAAATATAGAATATATCTCTGTGTTTGCGACTGTACCGATCTTTACTAATCGGTTTCAGCTGTTACCAGTAAGATGGCGGCATATGCATGTTTTTGGCACCTTTTTTGTCTAATTAAACGATTGCATACACTTGATGTCATTTATTATAGCAATAAGGTTAATGCAATGACTTTAAATTTTTTTGAACTCTGATATTTCTGATATTTCTGAATTTTTCCGAAAAAAATACTCATCAATAAAAGTAATCATTACTTTGTAATTACAGTATTACATTACAATATTTACTTAACAGTTTATTTATTTAGAGATGTCAAGGAGATATACTTATTCTTGAATCGATAAAATTTTGTTGTACAATGTGAAAAATGGATCCGAATCATCTATCAAAATGTCTGGGCGCAAAATGAAAGAGAATAACCCAAGGATCTAAAGATACCATACCAAGAATATTCGTGAGAATAGCCAGCTGCCGCGATAAGAGTGAATGAATTTTTTCATTAAAATTAGTTTTTAATTAATTTGCGGATTCTGTCATTTCGATATCGGGTGATATAAAAATTTCACAAAGAGTAGACATTGTATGATCGCTTTAATCATATAACGTTTGAAATTTTTCAAATAGAATTTTTCAAATAGAATTTTTCAAATCAAATTTTTTTAATTAATAAAAATAGGTTTTGAATAAATTTATTATTTAAATAAAATTAATTAGATGTTGTAACTAGTTTTTTTATTATTGTTGATTTATAAAGGATTGTAAACATTATTGTATTATTGATATAATTTAATATTTGTAATAAGCAAAATAAACTTATTCTTCCTCATTTCTTTAATAATGCTAGATTAAAGGTGTTAGTAGTAATCGATGGAGAAATTTTTCATTCCGTATAATTGCGAATACGTAGAGCGATAATTCCAGTTGTTTAGGGAAGCGAAAGGAGAGGGTAGGTGCGCTCATGACACGCCAACTGACCATTATGCAGATTTCCAACGATTAGATATATCGGACGTTTTGCCGACGCACCGAATGTAATGTGCCTTTGTGAAAGGAACGAAGGGAACGACGAGAGACGGGATTCTCCCGTCTTGTCCACCTTTCATCCCGCCTTAATTCGTTATCTTGACTAACGACCTCTTTCCCGTTTTCTTCTCTCTCTCTCTCTCTCTCTCTCTCTCTCTCTCTCTCTCTCTCTCGCTCGCACCGAGGAAAGGGAGTAAAACGGAAGGCGCGGACAGAAAACGGATTTTCCAGCGTTGTGCTAAGGTCAAGGAAAGACGAACCGTCGCGCGCGTTGAATAAGTTCGCTGGATTTCTAAGGGTCAAAGGAGAGCTGCTTAAGAGCCTGCTCGGGGTGACTGTGTACACACGAGGGACGATGTTCCGTGAACGCGTTGATGAGAATTTTTTTCCTCTTGATCCTTCACGGTCTGATCTGAAACGGTTTTGGCAAAGGGTGTGAAAAAATAAAGACCGTCGAATGAACTCCATTCTCATTTTCTTTTTTTGATATCTCTGATCTGTAAGAAAAGCTATCACGTAGACATACGAACACTTATTCGTTTGTCAATGTTTATCAATATCATAAAAATTATAATATTCTATAACATTTTTAAATTAATAATATTATTAAAACAATATTTCTCTGGAAAAACTTGAAAAAATTAATAAGAGAATTTAAATGCAATTTTTTGTACAAAAAGTAAGAGATATCTTAGTTATATATACTAACAGTGAACATTTCTTAAAACATTTAAGAGATGACATTGAATGAGAAACATGATTCTGCTAAAATATCTAAAAATTTAACTATAGATCTGAAAATAATTTTGTTGAACTATTAAAATAATTGCGTAGAACGTTTAAATGTTGATGATAATGATGCTAAAATTTTAACACTAGTAACTTGCAGTTTAAGCGTTCTATATAATTATTAATTATTTTAATAATTTTAAACAAAAGATTTGTATTTAGTTACAATAAATTTTTAGATACTTAAGATCGTTTTTTTCGTGCAGTGTCATTATCATTTTAAAATGTAGCGTACATAATATATATATATGATCGAGTTATAAAATATGTTGATAGTATCATTTTTATATACTCCTTTACATGTAATGAGACATATTGAAAGATCAAGCAATTTGTAACGAACTTTACGGTAATTCACAATATGGTAACTCTCACACGCGTATCCGCGGAAATAAAATCACGTGACGAAGGCAGCATGTAGTGTCTCTTCCTCGTGTTCTTCTCGCAGACGGCTACCATTGCAATTACTGGGATCGTGACAAGAACGGACACATGCGTTTCATTACACGTTTTATCAGAGCAATTCAACCGCCGCCCACGCACGTCTTCTCTCGGGCGGGGCGTCGCGAATTACGATGAAATCGAAAGACATTGCGTGGATACTCGTGTGGATTGAACCGTCGCGTTGCAATTAAGCCAGTTCGCAGTTCGCTATGTTCAGAAGAGGAATTTATTTCCAGATCTAAAATAATGTATTAGCCATTAACAAATTATTTTGTGCGATAGCAGTTTTTGTTTGCAAGCACTAAAGGGAGAAATAAATAAATAAATTAATGAAATAAATAATAGTTTCGAGACATCTTGCACAGGAATTTATTATAATAGTAATTTTCATACAATCAGAAGATATTAAGTATTTAAACGCTCGAAGTATTCATTAAGTGTTCTCAAAATTTTTACGCCGATCGAAAATATTTATCATCTTGCACCTGACAATATTGCGGTAACTGATCTTATTACGAACGCTGTAATTAATGGCAGTATTAATTAATTCAGCAGGTGCATTATCGTATCGAGAAGAAGTTCGCGTAATCCGATCCATTATAACATACGGTGACTTTCACGATTTCAGCACGTGGAATTTTTTTATGACTGACTTTTTACAAAGATTACAACTCTTCAATGCAGGAAACAATATCATGGCTCTCAATTACTTAAAATCAATGGAGCCAGATTTGCAATCTTGATATAAAAATGACATGCAAATTACATTTAACTAAGTGAAACATTTAAATTGATTTAATATGAGATTTTTGTATCCAAGTAAGTTAAAAAAGAATAATTATCCGAAAATCGCAATAAAATAATAGTTTGTAATCTCCCATCGTTTCTGTTTTTATCTAAAATAAATTGATGAAATAATGAATAGTTCATTTTGATTAAGTTTGCGAGTATATAATATAATTTAATTTCCTAAGAAAGGTTCCTAAAGATTGACTAATAACTTAATTACTCCTAAAGATTGACTACATTTGGTATCTCGTGATATTTTGAAACATAACGTAACGGAGTTATTCATGCTGTTATCTGTCAGCTGGAACTCGCCATGCGAATAGTACTACAGCGATTTTTTTGTAAACAGCGTGTTATATAAAAATAAATATTTTGGCCGTTTGTCGGTCGACTCGTCTAGATTCGTGTCTCAATATTTAAAAAATGTTATAAATATAATGAAACGACCATTTATAATTTCTATCGCTTTGTTTATATTTTGTGTTATTCAAAATAATATATATATAGCACGAAATGTCTTCGCGAAATCTGTCTGAGAATATCTATGTTTATCAATAAATTTCGCAAAATAATTAAACACCTAACCTAAATTATTCTTAATTCGTAGAAAATAGCTACATTTTTGATTATTTATTAAAGTTAATATTTCAGGCAATTTAATCGTGTTAAGTAAAAATAAAAACAATAGGGAAAAGTGATAATCTAAATTATTATTTCGTAATATTTACGTGATATATATATTTTATATGTTATTATAATTTGAATGTATTTATATTTTACAGATCGATGTTGCTGTGTTAAATTCCGTTGCTGCGCATCGTATTGGTAAGTCAAATTGTATTTTATTCTAATTTAGAATGAATATATGAAAATATGTATATTAATTGTATATACTAAGATTTATAATATGAACAAATATTATAGATTGATGTTAGTTATTAATATTAAAAAAACATAAATAAATAATAGTTATTTGACATGCAGTAAAAATTTTAAAACAATAAAAATACGAAATGGCTCATATTCTAGTCCTTTTTTTTAAATATAATAAGACTCAAAGAAATGAGCTAGAATATAAGAATTTTTATGGAACATGAAATTTTTGGTGCGTATCAAATAACTATTATTTGTTATTCAAAAAATCATTACATAACGTTGAGATAGTAAAAAAATTTGACTTCGTATAGACATGATATCTGACAATTTCGCGGGTGGGACATCGTAAATCGTTGTCGTTTCGTAATTGCGACACAAGGGCGTTTTGCCAGTAATTAAAATCGTATTTCAATATTCTACCAGCAAGAGAGTATCCCCGCCGATTATTACGACTACTCGATTACAAGGCGCCGTGAGAACATCGGATTCCAGGTGTCGACGTTCCCGCGTGTGCGCATATTATTATTTCGATAATAATACTAATTAAGGCGCCTCCAGCCGCTCGTAATAACACTTTGCACGTAATGCGCGCTCCTAATCCGTAGCGGCATATGGTCCAACATGCGAGATATCTTGTGAGTGCAGTCATCGCCACGTTCTTCTTCTCACTCTCCTGCGCATTAAATTCGCTATTAAAACGCGTGTCCGCCGTTTACTGTGGATGTACATCGCGATACGGGCTTCCGATCAGTTGGAACGAAGGAAGAACTTGATTTACGAGCTCTCTCATGAATATTGCTTTCCATGCTGTGCAGCACAATTATTTTGTTTCGCTTTGCATGTCTATTTTTTTGCTTAATAGAAGAGAAAAATATTTTTTTTATTATAAAGAGAAAGATATGTATTGTTATAAGTTGTATTTATACAGCTATTGATATTTTGAGGAATTCCTCTTGAATTTTCGTTTTCCCTTTTTCTCTTCTTCAACGAAATCGGTGGAAGTGTTTCCCTTCAATTTTAATAAGCTTTGAATAGGTTTCCTAAACAAAATAAAGAACATATATTTTTTAAGGACCCAATCGCTCTTTTAGGGAGTGCAACAAGGGATAAACCGCCAACCAAAATTGTGTACACCAATGCCTACTAATATGTTCAAGTAATGTCCAAGTAATATCTAGTTTTTATGCCCACTAATGCCTATTCATGCCCTAATAATGCTCTACAATGCCCAGTAATACATAATCTCATCCCGCTTATTATAATACACAATTCTGAATTCTCTTAAGTAATGCCCCAAACTGCAATGCCTGGTTTATCCCTTGGGGTGCAACACCCTTTTGAAGAAAATTGTTTTCTTTTTTTGAAGCGAATGAATCATCAAAACTGTAAGAGATAAAAAAATGTTTTGAATAAAAATTGAATTGTTTACTTACTTTATGTAATAATAATTAGTGATAAAATTATCTTATAATAATAATAATTTAAAAAAATTTGTTTAAAAAGTTTTTATCTATGAGAAATAGAAATTAAAAAAGATCTTTTAAAATTATAATTATTAACTTAAAATCACTCAGCATTTATTCAGAACATTTTCTTCTATGTCTTACAGTTTCGACGATATTCGCTTTGACAATAAACGATTTCCTTCGAAGAGGTGTTGTATTCTTTAATCGTACAAAAGTACGATTAAAATATTATAAATAAAAACGTACTTTGTCTTCTTATTATCTAATATTTATTACTGATATTAGAATAAAATGTGTATAATCGCAATTCGAAAATATCGATTTTCATTTAAGTATTTTGTTATTAACGTATGGTACGACTGTTGTTGTATTATCGAAATCTGTCAATTAAAAATCCATTGCTCTTAATGTCAGTTTTCCTGAATCGTCATCGGCGTATCTCATCGCTCGCATCTCCCTCGTTAACTGTGCGAGCGGAAAGTTGTTAAGTTATTCGTTATCCTAATTATGCACATAATAAATTACATGCAAGAACAGCCGTCACACTCGAATACGCTACGTGGATTGCTTGGTTACGTGTATACGTCGGCCAATCCATCGACCGATGTGATACACGTAGAGTAGGTCGCGGTGTATGTGTTACAGACATATGTGCTTGTGCACGCATGGTACTCTCGACTAAGAATTCTGAGAAACATGGTATCGACTAAAATCGTCGATACTTTCGTACACGAGCTTCCGCTGCATTCTTTTGCATCGGTTAATTAGATACAGTATCTTTACGGCCATTATCACTTTTTATTCAATTAATTAGCAGTCAGTTCATTTTGCAAAGAGAAAGAGTTACGAAAAGGAGCAATTTGTTATAAATCTTTTTATTACAAGTATGCTTCTCCTTCGTCTGTGTTAATGCTGTCGAAATAAATTTATAGTATAAGATATTTGCACATTCGTACGATAAGTAAGACAAAAAACTTGTTAATATATTTTATTTTTGGAAATTAAAAACATGACATCTCAAAAGAATATACTACTCGTACTATGTGAGCCTTTGTGATTGTTAGGACGCCTTGATATGAATAATATATTTATAAGGCAATAAACATTTTTAATTATCGATTGAGAATATTTGGGAGAAAATTTAATAATTAATGAAAGATGCATAGTGATTATATTATTTGAAATTTGTTTTCGTTGTTAGATAAATTAAATCTATATTATTTCTATTTCTAGTTAGAATTTTAGTCGTTCAAATGTTGAATTCATTTATTTATCGATTATTTTTGAAATGATTGTTTCAGTTTTATTTTTGAAATGATTGAATGGTAATATTCATTTTGATATTTTGAACATTCTTTTAAACATTATTGCTGATGCTGTGAAGTCAGTACGGCATTTTATTAATTTTCAAAAAATAATGATTGTTCCGGTTTCTATTGTTCTACTACTGTTCTTTCAAAAATAACAAAATGTTCTGTATTTTTAATATCAAAAAATCAAAAATAAAGAAATGCCATGCTTTCACATTTTAATACGGCATAACTTTCTCTAAAATACAAGATGCCATCGAATATTACGATATCAGTCAAGTGTTCCTGATAGTTAAAATTGCTTAAAAAATGTTTATAAGGCAGAACATTTTGTTATTTTTGAAAGAACAGTAGATCAATGGAAAGTGTTACCAGAACTATCATTATTTTTTGAAAATTAATAAAATGCCGTGCCAACTTCACAGACACAAAAAGTTATTGTTATATCCGTGTTAAAAATTGGATATATATGACTTTTTAGTGGAAATGCAAAAGTTCTCAAAAACATCCAGCAAACTTATTCTGTAACTCTTAACGAAAGTTTCATTATAACATTATTATTATTATAACATCATTATAATCGTTATAATATAATTATTGTTAACATCGCGCAGATGTGATAAAAAAAGCTGCACAATGACGTTATAATGATAAGAAAATTCTTAAAGTGTTCGTGATTAACTGTAATGTTACTTTCTTTTTTATCTTATGTTTATTTTTTCTTTTATTCAGAAGTAAATCAATAAATTCATAATCCAGTCAAAGATTAAACATAACTACTTTATGTAACACAATTTTATAAAGAATCTATCAAATTATTTTATACTCTCTCGCTGCCGTGCAATACTGCTGGAGTATTTTCACAGATATTGTGATAAAATTAATCACGGTAAACTCTAAACTCCGCGAGTGCGCAATCTTTTTCTGTTAGTTCATTCATCTCGCATACGCGAAAAAAGAAACTATCTATTACGGTAATATTTTTAAATAATGATGTCACTATAAAACGTATAACTTATTTTATGATGTATAAAAAAGTGATAGATATGGGCAAGTAATAGAATATCATAAATTTATAATACGTTTATTATAGAGCAGTGTTGCGAAAATATTTAATGGGATTCCGCGAATTCCACAGTGCATAAGTGCATTAATATCTTTAATCCGCCATACTATCTTTATCGCATCAAATGTCCGGTGGTGTCCCATGTGCGTGACGTACTCACCTTAATTGATGAGAGATAAGCCGGAAATGCACGATAGGCGCATAACCAGTCAGCCCCGGGTTTGGATCGTGGCCAAATTCGAGTGGAAAATGCCTAACGCTCCGTGCATCAACGATCGTGCCGTTGTGCGGCACATTGCAACTTTACTAGTTAATGGTTTTCGAGATCGTACCGAATATGTCGTACGAATATGTCGTACCGAGACATTAGAAGTGTTGCTAACAAGGTCGGTCGACAGTGAAGTAAGCGAATAAACCCACTTAGAATTAAGCTGACTGCGAAGTTCTTAGGTCATGACGCCCGTGCCACAATCTGCATTTTTAAATGATTTGACAAGCAGGTACACGCTCGAGCTGTCTCAGCATTTGCGATTAAAACACTAATTGCATAGTAGCTGTATCAACATTAACTAGGGCGGTACAACTTCGATCCTTTTCAGTCTCTAATTGGAACTGTCATGTACAACACGTTTCATAGGGCACTTCGAATTTATCTATAATGAATAACAATTTATTGTTTGGATTCTATCCAACAATATTCAAAGACGTTCAACAATATTCAAAACTAGCCACTATGATTACAGTATTATACTAAATGAATAATAATTATATAGATATTATATAATTAATAATGATATACAATATAAAGATTTACATATTTAGGACGTGTAAAATGCTTTTAACTTCTGTTTGTTCCCATAGCAAGCAAAGTTATGCAAGTCGTAAATACAAAGAAATTATAAAACTAAGTGATATAAAGATAAAGGACACAACGTGAAATATCATAAAAATCTAACATTATTTCGTAATGAAAAGAGATATAGGATGTTTAAATATGCGCGTAGTCAGTTGTTTCATACAGTGTAACATAAAATCAAGAAGAAGCTGTTGTCTCTCAAAATATCAGTGCATGCGGGGATTTATTACTTGTAAGTATATGCGCGCCATGA